GCTACACATGTGAATAGAGCATAGGCATTCGTTATTGCCATCCATAACGAGAGCACGCACACCGCTGTGTCCATATATGAAAACGGTTTCTATTTTCAGCACTGTGTACCAGCACTGTGTACTGTAGGCTAGATGCAGGCCCAGGCCCATACTTAATTTACTTGCTTTCACTTGAATCTGTTGCCACATGCAATGCATTTGCCCTGTGAGAAGGCAATGAATACAAAAACCGGTACACCTCGGTCAGGGGACAAGTAAGGGTTCCATTAATCCTCATGCAGTCGCGTTGATGATGCATGATTGACAGGATTCTATTGGAATGGAACCATTCGTTGGAACGGTTATAAAACAGCCGTCTGGCATCGCCTATAGTGCATGCTATGCATCTGGGAAACGACTGAACTGAAGAGTGGTGTAATGAACCTTCAGTGATTCCCACATTGTTGTCCTGGAGCGTCTGTCAAATGTTGAATTGTCCAGCTATATGTTTATATCATTCGAAACCCGTAGTGTTTTCTGAAAGGGAGCATTGCTTTCAGCGACAATAGCAACACAATTCCACATTCCAGTATGCTGTGTGAAACCGTAAGGTTTCCCCAAGGAATTATCCATTTGATGGCAATCGCTTTCTGTGTTTTGACAGCCTCAATTGGCATCAATGTAGCCTGCTAACGTTAGCCACCTAGCGAAAAGAACCCTGTGTACAACTACCACTATTTCCAAAGCTTTCAACAATTACATTGGATTCAGTTTGTGGAGGAAAAAGACAGTCGCGGACGTTACCTACCTCGTACGCGTCTCAACCTGTGCAGTCCGACACTTATTTATTGTTTATAAAAATTGTACGTTTCCGCGATAGACTGCCGGGTGCAGATCCAACCTCCGAGCTCTCCCAGAGCTCCCCTTCCTGCAGCAGCACCCTCCGACTCCCTCACAAGTCCTGGGGTGTATTCATTACGGAAACCATTTACCGTTTAAGAAGCAAACAGAGCAAAACGAGAGTTTCTATTGGACAAATTGAAGTAGGTCCCGCCCCGTTTCGTTCGCTTCCGTTTAAGAAACATTTTGCAACAGAATAGGCGGAATGAATACACCCCAGGGAATTGCCCGTGTAGTAGTAGCATCCATTAACCATTGTGAGCGCTTGACACTACGTGAGTGTCAGTTGTACACATTTAACATTCTTCACCGAGTATACCAAACATTAGGAGCACCTTCCTAATATTGAGTTGCACCCCCCCTTTTGCCCTCAGACCAGCCTCAATTCGTCGGTGCATGGACTCTACAAGGTGTCGAAAGCGTTCTACAGAGATGCTGGCCCATGTTAACTCCGATGCTTCCGACAGTTGTGTCAAGTTGGCTGGATGTCCTTTGGGTGGTGAACCATTCTTGATACACACGGGAACCTGTTGAGCGTGAAAAACCCAGCAGCCTTGCAGTTCTTGACACAAACCGGTATGCCTGGCACCTAGCAACATACCCTGTTCAAAGGCACTTAAATATTTTGTCTTGCCCGTTCACCCTCTGAATGGCACAATCCATGTCTCAAGGCTTAAAAATCTCATCCTCTTCATCTATACTGATTTAAATAGATTTAAAAAGTGACATCAATAAGGGATCATAGCTTTCACCTGGTCAGTCTATGTCATGGAAATAGCAGGTGTTCATAAGGTTTTGTATACTCTGTATGTATCCATTCTCTTTTTAAACTGTCTATGCATCTACTGTATGTGGTTCAATAGCCATACTTATTTCCAAGCAATTATGCTGGGGTGCTAAGAAAAAGGAAGACAGACAGCATTGCAGACCAAGTTTCCACACAACACCACAACTTGGGCATCATACATTTTTGAGTGACCTTGTAACATTAAACGGGTGAAGTTTTCCCCCCTAAAGAAGTCATCCAATACCAGATTGAAAGCTAATAGCTACAGATTGAAAGCTGATAGCTACATATCATTAGAGAATCACCTGAAAGGCCAGGGCTACATCTGCTTCATGTTTCTGTACACACAGACAATGGGACAAAATGGTGCACCATGCATACTCATATCACATTTTTGTCATTTAGCAGACGTTCTTATCCAGAGCGACTTACAGTTAGTGAGTAAATACATTTTTCATACTGGCCCCCCGTGTGAATCGAACCCACAACCCTGGCGTTGCAAGCGCCATGCTCTACCAACTGAGCTACACGGGGTATCACCTCACCGGTGCGTCCCAATGTCTCCTGAATTGTGCACCTGTTTTCTACTTCCCATAATTCTAAAAGCATTGGATTGGTGGAGGCATTGGCTAGTGGTAGTTTCCGCCATGTTTCTTATTCCACAAATGTTCTTTAAAGGTACAGGGAAGTGAACAAGGGAGGAAGGAGATATAATTGGGACATAACATGTGGAGGGGAAAGCACAAATATATTACACTCCACACCTGGTGAGGTGAGCTAGTTCATTGGTCACCTTGCATCATGTACATAATAAATGCAATTTCAGGTTGTGCTGGAGGAAATGTGTTTTTGTTTGTCTATTCACCATCCCACTAGGGCCAGCCCTCATGAAAAACAAGGCTAGCTGTGCAAACACCATTATAAGCCTATACACCACGGAAACTATGGTGACTGGTTGAGTGGTAGAATAGGTCTGGATGCACTTGACATTTCAGGGGGACAATTGATACTGTCCGTCACATTTCAGAGGACAGTGCGAGGATGCATTGATCCTACTTAAGCTTCTAAAATATTTATACAACATTGTCTGTGACCATAACCGCAGTAAAGACTTAAATGGCAGGTAAGGCAGCTCCAGGTTATCCAGTCCTGGCTTGCGTCCCAAATATAGTGCACTACTTTTGACCAGAGTAGTATGGGCCCTAGTCAAATGTAGTGCATTATATTAGGTGCCCTGGTCAAAAGTGGTGAACTATAAAGGGAAAAGGGTAGGGAATAAGGTGCCATTTGGAAGGTAACCTTGGTTTCTAAGGACCTGTTGGGAGGGAGCGTGGGAATGAATGCAAAGCTTCTATGAACTCAAAATGCTACACACAAGGAGAGGAAAGCCTCCCACTGCTATTTTAACATACTTGTTCTTCACATACAGTATATTTAAGATCAATGTGATAACTGAAAAAAGTAGATACAATTATTTTTAAAGACAATAATTAAAGCCTATGAATATGCGGGTAACTGCCAAAATAAAGGAAACACTTGAGTGAACGAGGGATACAAAGTATATTGAAAGCAAGTGCTTCCACAGTTCATTATGCAATTAAAACATGCTTAGGGTCATGTATAAAAATGGCAAGTTGCCCATTAATTTTGGCTACCATGGCTAGAAGAGCTCTCATTGACTTTGAAAGAGGGGTCTCAAAGGAGCATAGGGGGTTTAAAGGGAGTGTGTCAGTTATCAGGGCCCAGTTTTTCAAAACTTATCTGGATTTCACCTTTTGGATAGGATTAAATACATAGAAATATAATAAATAAAATGGACAAACCATTGACTTGAATGGGGACTCGTTCTATTCATCGAATACTATCCGATAGCCAAAATCCAGATAGGTACCTTTCAAAAACTGGGCTCAGATCTCAACCAAATTGAACACTTATGGGAGATTCTGGAGTGGCCCCTGAGACAGCGGTTTCCACCACCACCACCATCAACAAAACACAAAATTATGGAATTTCTCTTGGAAGAATGGTGTCGCATCCCTCAGTTCCAGACACTTGTAGAATCTATGCCATGTCGCATTGAAGCCATTCTGGCAGCTCATGGTGGCCCATGCCCTATTAAGACACTATGTTGGTGTTTCCTTTATTTTGGCAGTTACCTGTACAGTAAGCTTTCTTTGAGCTAGGGAAATATTAAATAAAATATTTTGAGCATAGGAAGATCAACCCTGCAGTAGTCCATTGTGCGAACACCTACTACCTGTATATCGCTGTATTAATGACAAGGCCCAATCATCCCTAGATAATGATAGATAACAGCAGTCATGTGTTCAAACAATAGAGGACAGGCAGCTCTAGAAGACCCACTTCATCCCATCGACCCCAAGCGACCAGATGATGAAACCAGCCACAAATGCACTTGAATGCATTGAATATGGGATGACATCATGGAATTCCATGAATTATATTACAGTAACAGTGTCCCTAATCTTTCACTAGAGAAAGGTGCACCCAACTCAGAATGTTTTACGCAGAGGAAAACTGAGGGAAGAACACTGACAAACAGTATGTTATAAAAACTAAGGCAAATTATGTGCTCTTGCTTCTCTGTGTTTAATGCTCAAGATCCATCCACTCACATAAAGAGACTTAAAGGTTCAATGCAGCCGTTTTTATCTCAATATCAAATCTGGGTAACAATTAAGTACCTTACTGTGATTGTTTTAAATTCAAATTATCAAAAAGAAACAAAAATAGCTTATTAGCAAAGAGCAATTTCTCAAGCAAGAATTTAGCTAGGACTGTCTGGGAGTGGTCTGAGTTGGGGAGGGAAAAACAGAAAACTAGCTGTGACGTCTCCATCCCACCAAAACAGGCTTATTATCATAGTTTTCACAATTTCACAGTATTATTCCAACCTCCTAGTGTGGAAATATACATAAAACACAGGGAAATCATGTTTCTGACTGCACTGGGCCTTTAACAAGCACTGGCTAAGCAATTCGTGAGAGGGACTGGGATTTAGAAAATGATACTTTTTTCCAGACCGGTATGGCTATAAATGGCTAATAACACAACTCAGTCAGATGCATAAAATATATGATGCAAGAGCAGAACAGTATATTCTGCACCTGAAAAAAGAACACCTATGAAGAAAACAGATATGGATGATGATCTTCCATGTGTAGCGCGGCATCAAAAACAGAATCTCAAAGGCAGCAAAAACGTCCAGCATATGTACATGTTTTATTCAATAGAAATGTAAAATGTTTTGTTTTGTTGTAAATGGAAGGAATAGGACAGTTACGAAATAATGGAAGGAAGGGGGGGGGGGGGGGGGGGGGGGAATCCAGCAGCATACAATCAGGCCGGGGCAGGCGGGCAGATGGACCGACCTCCAGGCTTGGCCAGGCAGCGAGAGCCCCACCCGATAGATAGGACTACCATGTCAAAGTAAAAGAGAGTAGGTAGGTAGCAGTTTTGGACCAGACAGTGCACCTCAGGGGCTGACGGGCAGGTTCTGAATCTCTATCTCTACACCTTCATCTGTATCCTCTCCTCCCACCTCCTGTTCTCCAGGAGAGCCTTTGGCTGAGCCCTGGCCTGCCTCCTTCTTCTGTTGGGATTGGATCTTTCGAATGAGCTCCTTGATCTCCTCGCGTTTCGTCTTCATCCGTTGCTGCAGGAACCATTCCGCCAGGTTCACAGGGAGATGAAAGCTGGCAATCGGATTCTGAGTGGAGGGCGGAAAAACGTCATTATTATGGATTCACTCCTAAGCAATGGCCTATCTATTTTTGGAGTGTTGTAAGGTAGAAAATGAGCTTCAAAATCAATAGTCTATAACGCCCTGGTTTGGTGCGATTGCTTTATTGATTAACAACAGTAGCTGGTATTCGTATTTGGGATTCACTTCTGGTTAGCAGTCTGCTATCAGTAGTTGTTACAGTGAATCAATTCGGTAAACATTGGCAATCTAAAAATACAACCAATAGAAAATTAAAATGGACCTCATCCCATTACATGGCCCCAGGTATCTGTTATAGTATACACTGCACTGGTTGTACTTCTGGCCTTGCGCATCCTAAATCCCACCCTATTCCCTATATAGTGCACTACTTTTGAACAGAGCCGCGTCGCCTTCAGCCTATGCTCTCACCTCGAAGAAGCTCTCCACATACTGCAGGACGTAGACTCCACAGTCGCTGAAGTTATCTTGTTGAGGCACACGCGGGTTGGAGCCTTTCATCTGGTCCTTCCCAAAACTCCTCTGACTTCCTTTCCTCACCTCCCACTCCACCTCCAGGTACCTGCAGTTACACACATGCAAATCACACACACACAAAAACAAAATATAAATGGCTTGGGAAGGTTTGCTTTGGCGCGCCAATGCATGTAACACTCAGATAAAGTACAAAATGAAAATATTGACTTACTCTCGTAATGTTTTAACTACTGACGATCTGGCAGGACCACGTAACGAGTCCATGATGAGAATGCAAGGCCTGAGAAAACAAGCAAATCACTCAGCAAATACCTAAAACATTGTGATTCTGAGGTAAATCTGAATGGACAATCACCTCAAATCACACTAGCCACAAAGGTGTCAGGAGAGCAATATCGCCATCTACTGGCACAAGTAGAACTTCCTCTCCTACTCACTGTTTACAGATGGTGGGTTTAGAGGTACACTCCGAGCTCTCAGGGGTAACCGGGTCCTCAGCAAGTACACCATCCTCACTGCACTCATCCTAAACAAAAGGAACAACAAAGTGACAAATAACATTAATTTAACTTCCTGGGAAATGTCACCAAACAGAGTAGCACATTCCACCGTTACCTGGCAGGAGCTTTGATCATCAGAAAAGGTATGGGTGTCATCACTATTGCCGCCAGCTGATCCATAACACACACTGATTCTGTGCAAGCCATCTGCAAAACATGATTAAAAGGCCAGTGATATCACAGACTCATCTTCCATCAGTTTCCACACAGCTTCCAAGAAATCGCAATCAAAGTTTATTTGCCATATGCACAGGATACAACTTAGTGTACAAAGTGCAATGAAAAGCCACTTGCAAGTTGTGACGTCTGCCTGTGGCTTACCTGTGTACTGTGGCTGGGCGTTGACCTGTCCATTCACCCTGGCTCCAAAGGTCTTGGGAGGCTCTTGGCCCCCATTGGGACAGGTTGACATCCCCTTTGGCTGCTCGCTGTGGGAGTGTCCCCCAGAGGAGGCCTCGGTGGCACTGAGGGACAGCTTCTCTGAGGGGGCCACGGGTTCCTCTCTGTGTGGGGACAGAGGCTCACAGTGGTCTGGCTCTGGAGACAGGGGCCGGCAGTGGTCAGGTGGGCTGTCCTGGGGAGCTGCCTGTGTTGGCCCTGGTGCTGGCTCCGGGGCCTGGTAGAGTGGGTTGGGCACCAACTGTGGGCCCTGAAGGCCTGGGAAGCAGATCACTGCCAAGTACCAGTGGGCTCTGAAACACATACAGCAATGGGTTTGGTTAAGAGAGACAGTTAGGTCTACCATCTTTGTCTATTATTTTGTATCAGTCTGTTCACCTTTACCATTGCACTTGAGACAAGAAAACGTTAAATTAATTTCCATGTAGACATTCACATCCGAAATGGCAGGTAGCCTAGAGGTTAAAGCGTTGGGACAATAACCGAAAAATCTGCCGTTCTGCCCTTGAGCAAGGCAGTTAACCCCCACAACAACTGCTCCCTGGTCACCGATGACGTGGACGTCGATTAAGGCAGCCCCCCGCACCTCTCTGATCCGTTTCGGTTGAATGCATTCAGTTGCGCAACTGACTAGGTATCCCCTTTCCCTTCCCTATATAGTCAGGCTCTGGTCAAATATAGTGCACTACATAGGGAATAGGCTGTAATTTGGGATGCAGCCAGGGGTATTTAGCAGCACTCACGACTCGTTAATGGGAACAAAGATGAAGTCCTTCTGGAACAGGTCTACGTGTCGGCTCCACGTCTTCACCCTGTTGTGCTTCCTCTTCTGGATCCTGACAACCAGCAAACAAGAGACATGGTTTTAGCTGCATTACTGAATTCTGTCTGAAATGTGTTGCCCTTGCCTGGTCCCACATCAGTTTGTGCTGTCTTGACAATTCAAACAATGTTAGGTGTGATAATGATCAAATGAGTTGACAAAACAGCCCAAATAGATCTGGGGGCTGTTGGGCCTCTCCGGGCAGAGGAGACTCACGTTAGGTTAGTCGTGTCTGGGACGTTTCTCCTCTCTCTTTGGTTGAGCCTCTTGTAAAAGAAGGAGCTGAACACGTGACTCCTTTGTGCGTCTTCTTTTTTCAACTTCTCCAAAACTAAATATCTAAGGGAAGATGCACACATAGAAAGACAGTTAATCCACTATCCTTGTAAGGTCGGCAAAATTCCCAGTATACTACAAAAGCAAGCATTTTGTGTTTCTAGAATATCAAACCTAGAATGTGACTTGAAAAACAATGGAAAATATACAATGGAAAGCAAATGCCACCAACTTTAAATAAAAGTCTATGATGACGTCGTTTAGGAATTCTCCATCGTTAAGGCAGTGGAGGTCTTCGTTAGTGACCGATATGCCCCCTTTGGCTGGAGGAGGGGGGTACACCATCAACCTACAACACAACCATCCAATGATTATCATTAGGAACAAAAACTTTAGAATAATACTTAAGAGGACAGGGTTGTATTCATTAGGGCACACCGAAACGGTTTCTTATTGGACAAGTTCAGATAGCCCCTTCCTGTTTCAGTCCATTTTCTTCCGTTTGGTGCCTAATGAACATGACCCAGGAGTAGGAGATAGATAACCCTCATACTTTACGATTGGTCCAGTGAAGGTGGGTTGGTGCTCGGCCATGTCATCGTCTTCATCATCGAAGAACGTGCTGGTCTGCTGCCGTGTGGCCATGCGAGTCTGCACTGTTGGTGCCGGTGTGTTGTTGGCTTTACTGCCATTATGAATTACCTACAAGAAAGTGATGAAACCAAAATATCTTGGTCAAAGGTTTGTTTAAAAGAGACAGTTTGTTGAAAACTTGCAGAAGAAAGGCAACACCAGCAACACATCTTTTGTTAGCTAGTCTCAAAAGGCTCCAAGACGCTAATCTTCCATGTAGAGAAAGCCCACCTTTTCTTTTGTTGCTTTGTTGTAGTTGACCAATCTGATGTTAGCCTCATCAAACGGCAGTTTGGTGGGGAACTCGTTGAGGTTGTTGGCTCGGCCGATCTCCTGTAGAATCTCCTCTAGAATCATCTGCTCGTGCATCGACAGCCCGTTCTCAAAGATCAGCACAATGTACTTTTCGTCAGAGTCTGAGGTGAGTAGGGAGAGCAATAAGATTTGACATTTTGTTGACCGTGAGGTCACAGACTTGCTTTATTTAGCAAAAAATGATATGTCATAGAAAGGCTTCTCCAAACACAGTCAACGTTGACACGTTTTGTAAACAACAAACATATTCTGGCAAGGGTGCTTCACTTTTCGATTGGCATCTGTATGTAAAATGTCTGCAGTCCTCACCGTTGCCAGCACAGTCGTACCACAGGCCTCCCTTGTCGCGGGTCATCTTGAGCTGGGTGCGGAGCCGCAGACATTCCTCGGGGGTGGTCTGGAAGAAGAGTACAGGCAGCTTCCTCACGCTGCACCACTCACAGCTGATCAGCCCCGACGCATGCAGACGCACCTTCTCCAGAGTATCGACCTCAGGACCTGGGATACAAAGCACTATAACATACTGTTAGGTTTGCAAAATTCCAGTAACGTTTCCACAATTCCCAGGTTGTCCAGAAATCCCGGTTGGATGATTCCCTGAAACATGAGGGAATAAGCAGGAAATTGAGAATCCTCCACCCACGATTTCTAGAAAACTTGGGAATTTGGGGAAATGTATTGACATTTTGCCACCCTTCATACTGTACTAGAGTGTGTGTATAATGCAGACAATATTTTTTCATTGGAGAGCAGAGGAAAAAATGCTTAAGACACTTGATGTTCTTATGTCGCTCACCTTCAGTTTCAAGTTGAATGTAATCGACCGTAAACTGAAAGACAAAGATGGTTGAATGATACAGTTGTCAGTATGACAATTAGTATAAATAATTGCAGCTTTGACCATATTGCTATAGGCTATTGTTTTTGGAAATATTTTAGATAAGCCAGACTGAGTGTCTGTACAGAGAGAGAACAGAGTATAGGAGCAGAGTACTTACAATGACAGGTTTGGTCACCATCCTGCGAAGAGTCCCTACTCTCACGCTCCTACAGTCCAGGATGATGCTGTCTAACTTGTAGGGAGAGCTCTTCTGTTTTTTCCTGGGTGTAGAGTCGTCAGGTATTTGGTTTCCAAACTGAAAACACACGGTCAGCCTTGAAATCTTCTGCTTCATATCATTAATTCCTCTAAATCAGTACTTGCCAACAACATTGGATTCTTCCTCAACTGGTCATTTAGATTCAGCTGCCTAATTAGTTTGAAAGATAAATGTCAGGAGTGGTATGTTTCTCAAAGGAAAACGATCCTGAACAAGCAAAAAAGTAAATTAGGAGACTTAAAATTGTTACTCCCACTCCCAATGGCTGCCAAAAACAACTATCTTGGTGAATAAAGAAATACCCAGTAACATAATTTGCTGCCAAGCAAAACAACCCACAAAGTTACCTTGAGAGAGCAGATCAGGAACATTGAGTTCTCAAGGACATTTTGACAGGAGTCAATATATCCAGACTGAAATGTGCCAAAACAGCTCACTATAAGACTGGCTCACTGTAGCCACGTCTGTGTACAAAATGTGGCTTACATTTGTGAGAACTGCAGAAAAAAACAACATTTCATTACGTATCCACACAAGTGCCATCCTATACACTGACGCCGCTTGCAGCACATATACTGTGCATTCGGAAAGTATTCAGACCCCTTGACTCTTTCCACATTTTGCTACGTTACAGCCTTATTCTAAAATTGATTAAATCATTTTCTCTCCTCATCAATATACACACAATACCCCATAATGACAAAGCAAAAACAGGTTTTTAGATTTTTTAGCAAAAAAACAAAACAAAAAAACAGAAATATCACAATTACATAAGTATTCACACCCTTTACTCAGTACCTTGTTGAAGCACCTTTGGCAGCGATTACAGCCTCGAGTCTTCTTGGGTATGAAGTTACAAGCTTGGCACACCTGTATTTGGGGAGTTTCTCCCATTCTTCTCTGCAGATCCTCTCAAGCTCTGTCAGGTTGGATGGGGAGCGTCGCTGCACAGCTATTTTCAGGTCTCTCCAGAGATGTTCGATCGGGTTCAAGTCCGGGCTCTGGCTGGGCCACTCAAGGACATTCAGAGACTTGTCCCGATGTCACTCCTGCGTTGTCTTGGCTGTGTGCTTAGGGTCGTTGTCCTGTTGGAAGGTGAACCTTCGCCCTAGTCTGAGGTCCTGAGCCCTCTGGAGAAGGTTTTCATCAAGGATCTCTGTACTTTGCTCTGTTCATCTTTCCCTCGATCCTAACTAGTCTCCCAGGCCCTGCCGCTGAAAAACATCCCCACAGCATGATGCTGCCACCACCATGCTTCACAGTAGGGATGGTGCCAGGTTTTCTCCAGACATGACGCTTGGCATTCAGGCCAAAGAGTTCAATCTTGTTTTCAACCAGACCAGAGAAATCTTGTTTCTCATGTTCAGAGTCCTTTAGGTGCCTTTTGGCAAACTCCAAGCGGGCTGTCATGTGCCTTTTACTAAGGAGTGGCTTCCGTCCGGCCAGTCTACCATAATGGCCTGATTGACAGAGAGCTGCAGAGATGGTTGTCCTTCTGGGAGGTTATCCCATCTCCACAGTGGAACTCTGGAGCTCTGTCAGAGTGACCATCGGGTTCTTGGTCACCTCCCTGACCAAGGTCCTTCTCCCCCGATTGCTCAGTTTGGCCAGGCGGCCAGCTCTAGGAAGAGTCTTGGTGGTTCCAAACTTCTTCCATTTAAGAATGATAGAGGCCACTGTGTTATTGGGGACCATCAATGCATGGTTTTTGCTCTGACATGCACTGTCAACTGTGGGACCTTATATAGACAGGTGTGTGCCTTTCCAAATCATGTCCAATCAATTTAATTTACCACAGGTCGACTCCAATCAAGTTGTAGAAACATCAAGGATGATCAATTGAAACAGGATGCACCTGACCTCAAATTCGAGTCTCATAGCAAAGGGTCTTATGTAAATACGTAATTTTCTAAAGTTATTTTTTAAATATTTTGCTAAAATGTATAAAAGCCTGTTTTTGCTGTCATTCTTGGGTATTGTGTGTAGATTGATGAGGAAAAAAATTGATCTGTAACGTAGCAAAATGTGGAAAAAGTCAAGGGGTCTGAATACTTTCTAAATGCACTGTACACCGAGTATACCAAACATTAGGAACACCTTTGATATATATAATATTGAGTTGCACCCCCCCCTCTCCGCCCTAAGAACAGCCTTAATTCGTCGGGGCATGGACTCTTCAAGGTGTCGAAAGCTTTCCACAGGGATGCTGACACATGTTGACTCCAATGATTCCCACAGTTGTGTCAAGTTGGCTGGATGACCTTTCTTTGGGTGGTGGACCATTCTTGATACACACCGGAAACTGTTGAGCGTGAAAAACCCAGCAGGTTGCAGTTCTTGAAACAAACCGGTGTACCTGGCACCTACTACCATACCCGTTCAAACGCACTTAAATATTTTGTCTTGCCCATTTACCCTCTGAATGGCACACATACACAATCCATGTCTCAAGGCTTAGAAATCCTTTTTCAACCTGTCTCCTCCCCTTCATCTACACTGATTGAAGTGGTTTTAACAAGTGACAACAAGGGATCATAGCTTTCACCTGGTTTCACCTGGTCAGTCTATGTCATGGAAAGAGCAGGTGTCCTTAATGTTTTGTACACTAAGTGTATTTAAAAGAAGCAGCACATACCTGATCTTTCACGCGGTTCCTTTTGGGTAGTGAAATTCTGCTGTCGACGTCGGAGAAGAAGTCGGAGGTGATCTCCTCCTGCTCCCCTCCTGCGCTACTCTTCACTGCCGCCTCTACCCTGCCTCCGGAGGGCGCTGGCGAGGAGTGGGCAGAGTCAGCGGGCAGCGGGGAGACGCTGTCCAGCCTGTTGACGCTACCAGTGCTGCCGTTGTCTGCTTCATCCTCCTCATCGTCACTGGACAGCACGACTGGAACGCACACATTAGACATCATTTCATGACTGAGAATGAGTCACTCACGCCACCATAGTTGAATGTATTATTTCAAGAAGAGGAGATTTATATTTTGAAAAGTGGCCTTTGTTTGCAAACAGATGTGACCTTGTGTGAGAGAGGTAAGATGTACAGACAGGTGCTAGTGGTTTTGAGGTGTGTGGTTTATTAGCAAGAACATTCTGTACTGCCAGTTGAAATGAATACTTTCTGCACTACCTCACACAATGCAAAGCCCTGCAGTAAACCCTGAGACTAACCACTGTAGAGATGTGAGGAGTGAGTACTTAGCAGGCCGGGATGGGTCAGTGGACTTACTGGGGTCGTTGATCTTGTGTTGCTTGGCGGCCGCCGTCCTCCTGCCTTTGTTGGCGGCGACTTTCCCGGCGCAGCAGCTCCCCACCAGCCCCGCCACCACGGGTCTCCCGTTGTGTGGCAGTAGCAGGCCGGCCCGGGTGGTAATGCGTACCGGGATGGGCGGGTTCATCACCGTGTCCACGCGCAGCGGCGGCGCCCTCATGGACGAGGACGAACCGTAGAAGCTGTTCTTCCTCAGCTGTAGACTGTTTGCTCCTGGGGATGGGTGCTGGTGGGTATGGGGGTGGGGTCGGATGGGGGGTCTGGGCGTGGGGGACGAAGGCTGGGCTGCAGGGGGGTGGTGGAGGTGGGGGGCCTCCGACGCCAAGGGGTTCCCACAGTGTTCACACATGGTGCTGTTGTCACTGGATTTGCTACACTTCCCGCACACTAGGTTTGGATGGAGTGTCTGGGAAAAGAGAGACAATTTAATTTCAGCAGCAGGTACATTTCCATTAAAATATTTATATTTTCTTCAACACTATCTGTCAGGGGTATCATCATAAAACCAGTCTGCTCTTTTTGGTTGAAATGGCCAGCTGAAGTGGAAATGATAAACAACATGCTTCTTTCTAGTCAGTTATTTATTAATCTCTGGTTCTAGGCCCAACACTAAAGGTATGATTCAGACAGGAAGGAGCAGGCTGGATGGTTTGATAATTGACTAGCAAGGCCTGAGCGAAAGGCCCAGAGGGGAGTAGCTGGCACTCCAGTCCAGCAGGGTCAGAGTCCTCTCATATAGAAAAGGCTGCATGATAAACACTGAACAGTCAACTCTAGATGTCCCCAGAGACATGCACTTACTAAGCAGGCACAGGTCCTTTTTGACCTTCAGGGCCTGGCGTATACATAAACGTCTCAGAATAGGAGTGCTGACCTAGGATCAGCCCCCCCCCCCAGTCCATATTAACAAAAACATTAAGATATAAAAGAAAAAATTATCCTAGATCAGCACTCCTACTCCCGAGACGCTTTATTAATATGGGCCCAGATGACAAAGTAAGTGTATAGGCTACTGCTCTTACCTCCTCTGTCTGAACCTGCGAGGGAAAGCTACAACAGCCCTCCAGCGAGGGTCTCCGACTGTGCTGCTGGACACGCCGTTTGATGTTCAAGTTGTCGTTGGCTAAAAAGGAAACAAAAGACAACACGGAAAGGAAAAATGACGTATCTGTCATATACCGTATGCAGTAACAACTGGTTGAGAACCAGCCTTATCTTCAACACAAACAAAAAATAGCCAGAGTGGAAAAATTGGCCCTGGGGAAAAGTTTCACACGGGTGCAGTGTTCCAAGGTCACCTTGCTGCACCACATGTGATCATCATCATGCCACAGTGTGCTTTATTGGCCTGTCTGTCTGTGTGTGTTGCTTTCCTCCCCATGCTCATTTGTGACAGCCAGGAACTCTCTCGCTCTCGCACTCCGTCCTCTCAGAGGAGCTTCGAGGGCGGATTAATCTGCGAGGCCTGCTGCAATCCCACTCTGACAGACACAGGCTGGAGGCTCAGCCCAGATCTGCTGCCCCGCAGACACCACAGTCTTCACTGCCAGAGACTGAGGCTGCACAGCCACATCCAGACACCTTCCACTATTCCCTCTACCACCAAGTCCCACATTACATCCTGATACTAGCATTTACCCACGCCATCTTAGTACAGTACACTGTGTCCACCTATAAAACCACTTTCACTGCCTCGGATTGAGACTGCAGACATTGTCTACTATTCCCTCCATTGCTTACCGTCCCATCCCCACATCACAACCCGAGAGCAGCATTACCCACGCCATCTTAGTAGTACACTGCGTCCACATATAAAATCATGCTGGGTGATTCAATGCCAGTATGGTTTGGGTATCTCAGATTGTTCTGGCAATCCTCACATAGAAACTTGACTGCTTGACATGCTTTTCACATTTTTATCACAAACATTTGTAGAGAAAATCATGATGTAAGCGGCCACTTTAGGCCCTGCTATTATATATAAGGATATACAAGTACAGCAGGGTTTCCGTTAGTCGGTAATAGCTGGCTTTCTGGCCGTTAAAAAAATAGAAAAGCTGATAAACTTGTCCAGGAAAGAACAACAACACCCCATTGCGAAATAATGCTTTTTAGCCTATTCATTAATGGAAATGCCAGTTGATGTAAATCAATTTGACCGGTCATGCTTATCGGTCTATGGGTTAATTTGCATAATTTTGTGGAATTACATTTGTGTGTGTGTGTATATTCGTTATGTATCTTATCATGTATTAAAAATAGTTTTTGGTCCACGATTAAATAGAGCTACTATTTTTATTTCTCAACTGGTAATTGAAGCACGCTTCCCATTCGCCATTCAAATGCATAGGCAATGGAAGGCAGGCTTCATCAGCGCATCACACAACACTTTGCAATGAGCTGTAGGCAGTTCGCATTTTGAAAACATATACACTACCGGTTAACATTTTTAGAACACCTACTCATTCAAGGGTTTGTCTTTATTTTTACTATTTTCTACATTGTAGAAAAATAGTGAAGACATCCAAACTATGAAATAACACATATGGAATCATGTAGTAACCAAAAAAGTGTTAAACAAAATCAAAATATATTTTATATTTGAGATTCTTCAAATAGCCACCCTTTGCCTTGATGACAGCTTTGCACACTCTTGGCATTCTCTCAACCAGCTTCACCTGGAATGCTTTTTTGGGTTACTACATGATTGGGGTGGCAGGTAGCTTAGTGGTTAAGAGCGTTGTGGCAATAACCGAAAGGTCGCTGGTTCTAATCCCTGAGCAGACTAGGTGAAAAATCTGTCAATGTGCCCTTGAGCAAGGCACTTAACCCTAATTGCTCCTGTAAGTCGCTCTGGATCAGAGCATCTGCTAAATTACTAAAATGTAAATGAGTAGGTGTTCTAAAAATGTCTGCAGCATTGAAGGTCCCAAGAACAGAGTGGCCTCAATTATTCTTAAATGGAAGAAGTTTGGAACCACCAAGACTCTTCCTAGAGCTGGCCGCCCGGCCAAACTGAGCAGTCGGGGAGAAGGGCCTTGGTAACGGAGGTGACTATAACCCGATGGTCACTCTGACAGAGCTCTAGAGATGGGAGAACCTTCCAGTAGGACAACCATCTCTGCAGCACTCCACCAATTAGGCCTTTATGGTAGACTTGGCAGACAGAAGCCACTCCTCAGTAAAATGCACGACAGCCCGCTTGGAGTTCGCCAAAAGTCACCTAAAGGACTCTTTGGCCTGAACGCCAAGCGTCACGTCTGGAGGAAACCTCGCACCATTCCTACGGTGAAGCATGGTGGTGGCAGCATCATGCTGTGGAGATGTTTTTCAGAGGCAGGGACTGGGAGACTAGTCAGGATCTAGGGAAACATGTACAGAGAGATCCTTGATGAAAACCTCAGACTGGGGCAAAGGTTCACCTTCCAACAGGACAACGACCCTAAGCACACAGCCAAGACAACGCAGGATTGGCTTCGGGACAAGTATCTGAATTGTCCTTGAGTGGCCCAGCCTGAGCCCGGACTTGAACCCGATCGAACATCTCTGGAGAGACCTGAAAATAGCTGTGCTCCAACGCTCTCCATCAAACCTGACAGAGCTTGAGAGGGCCTGCAGAGAAGAATGGGAGAAACTCCCCAAATACAGGTGTGCCAAGCTTGTAGCGTAATACCCAAGAAGACTCGAGGCTGTAATCGCTGCCAAAGGTGCTTCAACAAAGTACTGAGTAAAGGGTCTGAATACTTATGTAAATGTTATATTTCAGTTTTTAATTTAATACATTACGGCCTTAATCAATTAATTTCAATAGACTGATTTCCTTATATGAACTGTAACTCAGTAAAATCTTTGCAATTGTTGCATGTTGCATCTATTTTTGTTCAGTGTAGCTACTTAACTGTTTGAAACCTGAACATTTTACTACATGAGGCATGTTTTATCTTGCTTCAAAGTAGCCTAGGCAAAATCTGACCATATCCGTGGAAGCAATTATTTTATACAGACTTCCATATGCCATTGAAACCAGTAGCCTATTTCTCTCATGTTCTATTGTTTTTAAACTTTCTTCCATTGTCCGGTAGCCGAATGCACATTCGCGCGTAGCCTACTGCCTTGTATGCATTGCTGCGCTAATAAAGTTAAGAAATAATAGTTGATCAACATTTTAAGCTAAATGTTCTGATCTGTTGCAACAGATTCATTGCTTCAACTTTTTTGTTTGTTAATGTAGCCTAGGCCTACTGGTTGTATGAATTTGGGATCCATCGTCCCACAGACTGTTTGGGGCTATTTCTTTCTCGACAAGCTGACCAATAGAATAGGTAAACTTTTCTACAATGGGGGATAGTAGATTGGCAAAGGCTCCTATGTGGCGCGTCCACAAGGCTAGGGGAAGCTAAGCTTTCCTTAAGTAAACTGAATTAAATTGACAAAATGATATAGCCTAATTACCCTACTCCTGTCTATACATAAATAAATACAATCATTCAAAATAGGCTACTAAAGCATGATTTGGCCAGAGGATCATTAGCTTCAGCTAGCCTGAAAAAAATAATACGTTGTGGATTGTTTTAAATCGCATTACCTACAGTCGGAAGGAAAGGCAGCCCGCGCAATTTTGGCAGCGTGCACTGCAAATACCATATAGATGATTGTTGAGTTGCGACTGTCAGTGAAAAGCAAATGCCCAGCCAGGCATATCACAATATTTCTAAATTAAATCACGGGAAAACATAGTTTGGAAAGCAAATGGCTATTGCTGTAAAGAAAAGTCAATAAAAATACTAATCTGTCTTTTAGTTGAGCGAACAACAGTAGGCCTACAGCCTATCTTATTGACACCAGCGGAGCGCATCGGCCATATCCCTGGTTAGTGCACACTGCACATATTCACGCCATCATTGTTGGGTCAGTGCCACTATTAAAGCTTGTTTTTGGACAATAATTTCCTCCAGTTTTGATGGATGTCATATTCTATTTGTGTCTCCCCTTCTCATAGGCCTATTATATGGACTATACATTTTGTATTGATTGTCAGTGTTAGAGTAGGCTACCCTGTAATTTGCTATATTAAACAAGATTCTGCTAATGTCTCCAGTCATATAAAGTGTAGTAGAATTGCATTCCCATGCAAAGAAAGACGAGAAGTATCTGATATAGTATCTGACATAGCCTATAGCCCAGGCCTCCACACTATACACGCTCAGCCATGCATTGAACAGTCTTTTTTGCGAACAGTGATCGAGTTATATTATTAGCCTAAATTATGACTATCCAATCTACTAAAAATTACAAATAGTAGGCTATCTTACATAAGTCTGTAAATGCGATGATGCCTGGAATGATTTATTATAAAAGTGCATTTTTATGGTGAAATTTGCTTCTCCAAACTTGAAATTCACATGCCGCATATGCATAGGCTAGTGATTTTGCTGTTCGTTACTTGTCTTGTTGACTGAGGAAAAGTAAATGTGAACAGTTATTCTAACATCTTCCAAGTGCACGGTAAGGACAAGTCATTGCATCCTCGATTTGCATGTTCTGTTAAGATTATTTACCATAATCTAAATGTGATTTCTGTCATTCGGTCGAACGGTGGGTGGACGCCCTAATCAGGTTACGCACCCAACGCATATGGGTCCGGTACATTTCTCAAATGTCCGGTAAATTGAAATGCTGCCAGTCAAATGTCCGACACCGGAAACCTTGAAGTACAGTGAATGTAAGGGCAGAGTGTCTTGTCTTACCTGGGCTCTCTGGACAGGTGAGAATGATGCTCTCTACTTCTACTGGTTGGATCTGCTGCTGCGTGGCGCTGTACTCTTTTCTGAGGGACAAATGCCACAGTTTGGTCAGAAGCACAGACATACAGTGCATTCGGAAAGTATTCAGACCCCTTCTCCACATTTTGTTAAATTACAGCCTTATTCTAAAATGGATTAAATAGATTTTTCCCCCTTCATCAATCTACATACAATACCCCATAATGACAAAGCAAAAACAGGTTTTTATAAATTTTTGCTAATATATTACAAATAAAAAACTGAAATATCACATTTACATAAGTATTTCAGACCCTTTACTCAGTACTTTGTTGAAGCACCTTTGGCAGCGATTACAGCCTTGAGTCTTCTTGGGTATGACGCTACAAGCTTGGCACACCTGTATTTGGGGAGTTTCTCCAATTCTTCTCTGCAGATTCTCTCAAGCTCTGTCAGGATGGATGGGTATCGTCGCTGCACAGCTATTTTCAGGTCTCCCCAGAGATGTTTGATTGGGTTCAAGTCCGTGCTCTGGCTGGGCCACTCAAGGACATTCAGAGACTTGTCCCGAAGCCACTCCTGCGTTGTCTTGGCTGTGTGCTTAGGATCGTTGTCCTGTTGGAAGGTGAACCATCGCCCCAATCTGAGGTCCTGAGCGTTCTGGGGCAGGTTTTCATCAACGATCTCTGTCCTTTGCTCCGTTCATCTTTCCCTCGATCCTGACTGGTCTCCCAGTCCCTGCCGCTGAAAAACATCCCCATAGCATGATGCTGCCACCACCATGCTTCACCGTAGGGATGGTGCTAGGTTTCCTCCAGACGTGACGTTTGGCATTCCGGCCAAAGAGTTCAATCTTGGTTTCATCAGACCAGAGAATCTTGTTTCTCATGGTCAGAGTCCTTTAGGTGCCTTTTGGCAAACTCCAAGCGGGCTGTCATGTGCCTTTTACTGAGGATTGGCTTCCGTCTGGCCACTCTACCATAAAGGCCTGATTGGTGGAGTGCTGCAGAGATGGTTGTCCTTCTGGAAGGTTCTCCCATCTCCACAGAGGAACTCAGGAGCTCTGTCAGAGTGACCTCCGGGTTCTTGGTCACCTCCTTGACCAAGGTCCTTCTCCCCCGATTGCTCAGTTTGGCCGGGCAGCCAGCTCTAGGAAGAATCTTGGTGGTTCTGAACTTCTTCCATTTAAGAATGCTGCAGAAATGTTTTGGTACCCTTCCACAGATCTCTTCCTCGACACAATCCTGTCTCGGAGCTCTACGGACAATTCCTTCGACCTCATGGCTTGGTTTTTGCTCTGACATGCACTGTCAACTGTGGGACCTTATATGCCAAGTGTGTGCAAAGCTGTCATCAAGGTAAAGGGTGGCTACTTTGAAGAATCTAAAATATATTTTGATTTCTTTAACACTTTTTTGGTTACTACATGATTCCATATGTGTTATTTCATAGTTTTGATGTCTTCACTATTATTCTACAATGTAGAAAATAGCAAAAATAAAGAAAAACCCTTGAATGACTAAGTGTGTCCAAACTTTTGACTGGTACTTTAGACAGGTGTGTGCCTTTCCAAATCATGTCCAATCAATTGAATTTACCACAGGTGGACTCCAACCAAGTTGTAGAAACTCAAGGATGATCAATGGAAACAGGATGCACCTGAGCTCAATTTCGAGTCTTATAGCAAAGGGTCTGAATACGTATGTAAATAAGGTTTTTAAAAAAAAATATGTGTAAAGTGGTTATCCCACTGGCTATAAGGTGAATGCACCAATTTGTAAGTCGCTCTGGATAAGAGCGTCTGCTAAATGACGTAAATGTAATTTTTTTTAATTTTTTTAATAAATTAGCAACATTTCCAAAAAACCTGTTTTCGCTTTGTCATTATGGGGTATTGTATGTAGATTGATGAGGGGAAAAAACAATTTAATCAATTTTAGAATAATGCTGTAACGTAACAAAATAAGGAAAAAGTCAAGAGGTCCGAATACTTTCCAAATCCACTGTATATCTAGATAGAAAATAAAGCCTTTTTTTGTCATTTTGTCATAATGAGGTGAACAACTCAAATCAGCAGTGGATCATTGGAGATTAGCAAAATATGCAATATGATGGGTAGGAGGGGTTAATGCTAATGAAGCTATTTCACAATGGAGTAAGGATATGATGAAACACATGACATGGGATATTCCATACAAACAGACTTCAGCCAGTGCCCTACAGATCCAGACCAAAGGTGGGTGGATGCAGGCTGAGCAAGGTACTAAGTTAGCTAACAAGTATAAACACACATGGGCACAGGCACTACTGCTTTGACTACATGATATGAAATGCAAAGTTTGAACAGGACAAAGTTATCAGACCATTCAGATCACTACGAGGGGTTGCGGCACAATCCACTGGGTGCAATGGCTTACCTTTCCTTTAAGTCAAGGTTGCTTAAGAAAGGGAAATGGAGAGAGTAAGTATTGTCTACCAATACAATCAAGTCTAACACAATAATTGTGATGATCCATGATTAAATGGGTTGCACTTCTGACTTGATGGCAATTAGCCAAACTGAATTTATCAGACCCCTACATAAAGGGAGAGTAACATGTTCTCTCTTCGATCGACTAGAGATCCAGCCCTACCTGGCAACTTGGAGAAATCAAGCATTCTGACATACAAAACCATAGTCACTTTCAATGCTATGTTATGCAGTATGACTACAGTGTGTCTTCAGTGAGGGCTCATACCTTTGGACAGGTTTCCTCATTGCAGCAGGAACATGGTGGGTGTGCTGAAAGTGTCTCCCCTGTAGAACGACCCCTTGAGGTGGTGTTGGGCTGACGATTAAATAGTCTGTTCTGTTCGGCATTGGTGACGTCGTTGCTTCCGCGTATGGGATTTCACTAGAGAGGGAAGCAGAGAAACAACATCAGCCGGGTTTCACTGAACACAAGTTGAACATTGGTTCATTATAATATTTGCCATTGTCATCAAAACGTTTCAACTTGGGCAGGAGAGATACTTGCAAAAATGTTGTGCCATACCTTAGCCTCTTGCCAGTTCCTGGTTTGTTTAGAGCCCTTATGTGATTATTTGTATTTGGCCTGTTTTCGTATGTTTTCAGGGGATCCGCAGAAGAGAAGTGCCTAAGAGCGGGGGACTGGTGGAGAGAGACAACAAAGAAGAGAATTAACAAAGAGGATCTGATGACATATGATGCAGGGCATTTCTGCTGAGAGCATACAATATTATGTCTGAGTGATGCTGCATAAAAAACAGATTTATGGCAAAAACAGCACTGAGCTGATGTTCTTGTTCATTGTTCAGTTGAGACAAGAGAAACATGTTTGAAGATTTAGTAATAATACCCTAAAATAGTATCACATTCACAATGAAGTTAATCAGATTAAATGTTGTGTATAATAACTCAGTGCAGTAAGCATCAAATGTCACAACATTAACTTTTCACCAGCAGCAGCACAAAACATTTTGTTGGTAAAAAGCTGGAGACCTCTGGATAGCTTTGCCATACAAGATTTGGCAGAAAGTGAGAGAGAAAGAGAGCCAGAAAGTGATGGACAAAGAAAGAAAGGAAATTGGCAGAAAAGGTTAAGGACATATATAAAGGGAGAGAGATGAGACAAAGGCAGAGAGTACCAACAGGACAGAGCAGAAAGCCTGTTGCCTGCTGCGAGCAACAATGCCATAAATGTGAGTATTGTGGAGGGGGGACAAGATAGGGCTTTGCTTAGTGAGGGAGGTAGCCTACAGTACCTTCTGCCCTTCTGGGGAGGAGTGCTGCTGTCCATCCATCTCCTTCGTGGTCACCACCGATGTGCAGCTTAGGAAAAAAGAAGAGAAAGGGGTGGTTAGATAATGCCCACATAGACCAAACTATTGGATAAACATATTGGGTACTTCCTTCAGTTATTGGATTACATATATGATTGAATTACAAAAATAATGTAATATGTAACAGCATGATTCTGTGATACATGTAGTTTTACAGTAACATCACTGTCAGTTTGTATCCCTAGTGTATAACACTTCTACAGTCTACACACTTCTATTACAACACAAAGACTCTGCATGCGGACAGTGCGTGTGCCCGTGTGTCTGTATATTAAGCTGGTGGCAGGCAGGCTCTCAGGTGGGAATACTAATAAACAGAACAGACAGAATCATGGGGTCTGTCTGTCTGGTGGATACGGATGGTGGCAGGGTGATATATTGATGCAGTGCAAAGATGCTGAGTGCAGAAATGAGGTCCAGAGGAGAAGTGCTTACTCATGTCTCCTCTCCTCTTCACTGCCATCAGAAAGAGAAAAGCTCCAGTTCTGCTTGTACCCTCCATCTCGCCTGGCCTCTGATCTATCCAGAGCTTGAATATAATAAACCACAACTTGCATGAGTTCAGTAATACGACACCAAATGAGGGCATCAGTTGAAATGATTATGTGTACTTCCAGGAGTTTCACTAATCATTTCAACACTACTTGTATTAGCACCATATGCATCATTCAAATCATCAAAGAGAACTTTGATTCATGAGTAATCCTAAAACCTAACTAGATAATGAATCTGATGTTAAGATTAAGTCAATTAGCCTCAACCTAAAGTAATGTTGTCAACAAAGAAATAACTGAATACCCCTTTGATGTTCTTTGATGAATAAAGCTTAAATCACGTCTGCGATAAAACTGTAAGCAGAGGAGACACATCGGCAGCTGACAACAGAGCAGGTGTTTGCCAAGGAGCTGCTCCCCCTCTCTGTGAACGACTAAACTCATTTCCGATGGTGACGCTCATCATAAATGTGTAACAGTCTTAGAGGCGTAGCACTATGCTGCTCGGAAATGAGACACACGGTGGAGTCGTAATATCTCACGACAATCACAATAGCTGGTTTAGAGACTACAAAAACAGTTTTGGGATGGCGGTATTTCACAAAAAGTTATATGCATGACGCTTTGAGTAGCTGTGTTTTGTTTTCGGTGTTGACACCCTGTCCTTTGTGCAATCACATAATCGTAGGCCTCTCCATATCAATGTGTGAGGATGAGGATAGACATTTTACCGCTGTAGGAAACCATTTCGAGGAGGCACTTAAAATGTTTTCCAATAAATACTATGTGGCACGGCAGCAGGATACGCAGTGAAGCTAGGGATGTGGCAGTTAGCCAGAGGGACTATATTTTACTGTCAAAAACTCTGTCGCTGTAAGTGTATAGGCTAACATTAGTTAGAAATGTATGTACACAGGATCTTAGTACACCAACTGTAGCCTAGATAACTAGGTCATGGCTTGACCACTGAGCTCCTTCCCTTTCCACCCTACTAGCTATGATTTGATTTCATAACACTGTAGGCTTTCCTTACAGTGTTTTGAAAACAAGGCTTCCACCCTACATGTATTAGCCCACCTTCTTCATAACACCATCAGCAGGCTAAATCAATGAGGCTGGTCAGTAATAGGCAGAGCAGTTGAAAGAGAGCTTTGAGTCTGGCTCTGTGGTTCAAATCCATGGCTCACTGACACAGTCACTGCAGCTTTGTTCCTGTCTCAACACTGTGGGCACTGTTGCCAGACGGACTGCCACAAGACAGCCCAAACCAGTCTATGCTAGGTACAGCAAGATATTTCCCACTTAGCTGACCCACTGTAGGCACTTACAGTTATTTATAATTGAAGAAGATTGCCATGGTGAGTGTTCTGTCAGATGAATGTCTCAATGTACTGGCCCCTCTCACAGGATGTAGTCTATAAAGCTAGTAATTTAGTATAGAAAGAAGGAATAAACAAAGTTATTCCAGGGGTTGCCTTTATCAATATGCCTTTGGGTTGCATACTGTCCTCATTAACTACTTCCTTGCTCCACAGTCTGTGGCACAGGCAATGAATAACTTAGGCCTATTACTTAATTGGTCATGACTACGAGTTTTAACAACTAAATATATAAAAAGTGTTAGTCTTGTTAGGAGTTATGTGCAGATGATATACTTTAGCTATACCTATAGTCTCAACTCCCCCACCCCCAACACACTGAATTTGAGACACCACATTCCACACTGGCATGGTGCTTACAGAAGTGGTCCCTTCTTGTTTTTGAGCTAGTTAGCACTTTGATATAAGTGTGCATCTATACAATGCAGAAGCATGCATCTTATATAACGCGTATGCTTTGTCCTTCTTGGGTTGCTGGCTATTTACATTAATACCTTCATCAGACTAGCTACTTTGTTATGCGCTGTCTGTCTGAAATGGAAACTGTCAACCCTGCTCTGAGTTTTAAGACCTTGAAAAGCAGAAATAATGTACTGTTTATAACTAACTTGATTGCTAGCCAACAAATAACGTTAAGTTGATCCACTGTTGAAAATATTTTCCTATGAAAGACAAAAAGGACATGTAAAAGTATAGCTGACATGAAGGCCTGTCAACAATTATGTATAGGTAGCTAACGTTAGCTAGCTAGCTAGGCCTTGCTGTCTGGCTGTTCAATCTTGACCATTATCTACAGTACATTCAGTACCTACGTCCACAAGTACAACTTTACCGCATGGCACAGCAAGCTATAATTGATGTAAACCAATTACTCCTGTAAAATACTGCGCAAACTTATGTCCGTAAAACCGTGTCCCATTTCCTACGACATTTGAGGCTAGCTAGTAAGCTAGCTTAGCTTGTAGGTAGTCTGAAAGCTTCTAGCTAGCTAACTAAGATAGCAAGCTAGTCAGGCATTCACTGGCAAATTAGATAGCTGACATCGCCAATAATAGTTGCTAGCTAGTTTAGTAGCTAGCATAACTATAGACGGCGTTCAGTAAAGCAACGTGACTCTGATAATTCATTTTAATCGTGCCTATTAGGTCGTTTTGTTTCTGAAATGTCCATTCACGGTGAACAATGTACCTACAGATGTAAGTTATGTGAATAAATGTAGCTAGCTAGCTCTGCACGGAATAGCTAACTTTAGGTCGCTAGCTAGTTGCTAGCTCTCTCCGAACATGATTGAAACCAAATGAGGCACGCGCTCTGTATCTAACGTCTCATTGAACTACCTAGGAATGCGATCGCTAACAAACATTGCCGTCTTGCCTTCACAATTAGCTAGGTAAAATAGTCACACATTACCTTCAAAAAAGCTTATATTGTGTGCCATGTTTATTCCATGTTCTCTCTCTCTCTCAATCAGATGGTGTTTGCTGCTCACCAGCGACCCAGTCTCGCGAGTTGGCTTTTGTGGTTCTACGCACAACGCAGAATGTGTCGATTACTTTTTTAGCCAACAAACAACAGTTGCCAAATGTACCGTAATGATCTCAGAATAATTTTGCTAGCACTACACACATTATGCTCATTGGGTTGTTACAAAGTAGCTAGCTAGCTATGAACGGGCAACATTGTTTGGTAGCTAGAATAATTTGCTGGAAAAGCCCAACGTTATTGATTTGCCTATTACTCTGAGGTGCTAGCTAAAAATGATCCAAATAATCCATGTGGGTCTACTTGGGCACCTCTGCTGTTGTTGCCTCCTTATAGTATTATTCGGCCTGTGAAGGTAAGGGCTGGCTAAACTACTGCAATTAGGTTGAACCACGGTTACAATCTACCATGATAAACTGCCCGTGACAAATTATTGCTTGAAAATAAATGGGCTTGTGTGCGAAGTGACAAAAGATGTGATGTATTGACGATGGCAAGAAAAAGCTATCTTCCCATCCCCACTGTTCAGCAGTGTTCACATCACTGATTTCATTCTGAAATACCACATCCCTCAATTCTCATTCCCAAACCACAGAGGACTGCTAGGTGGCGACAACTCTCTAGTAGAAGCTGAACCATCTCTGAGTACAACCCCCTCTCATGTCACATAGCCGCGTCACTCTTCAGTGCTGTATTGTTGCTCTGAATGAAATCATTATACCCCAAAATAAATTAGCTTCTGTACAAATATATGTAATAACTTTCCATTTCATAAAAAAAGTATGCATTTATCTTAAATAATTAGATACAATTTGTAAAATGTGTGGTGTGTAGTGGCATGCCCTGAAATGCCTCCTGATTATTGTAATTGGATGCAGCCATTTCTCCAATGCATAGGCCTACTACAGCGTATACTCCCACTGTAAAGACCCAAGATCAAGTAGCCTATTCATTGTCTCCACCGAAACTCCATTATGGTAAAGAAAGAGGCATTAAAATATAATTATGTATTCATAGCCTAACAGCCTGTACCATTGACGTGTGATATTAACTGAAAGGGTCCTATGTTCCCCATAATACAAAACAGACGAGGGCTTTCATACATAAGGCTAAATAGACAAATGTAAAAAGGGGGGGCCGAAAGTCTCCTTATTTAAAGCACAAATCTCAATTAATGTGTTATTACTGAAGCTCCACTACTACTAACTGGTGATTAATGATTTCCTGAAACTAATTTTGTGTGTGGCAAAATCTAACTCCACTGCTCTAGCCAGCTCCCCACAAGCTAGACATTACACATATCGGAAACCTTATGTTACATTATGTTGCAGCTCAATTGGATATTATTTTCTTTGGCACATTATGGTGCGCTAGTGATATTAGCATGAAATCACTCACCTGAAAAACTGAAAAACAGATGTTGCATGATTTATATTTTGCAATAAAGAGGACAGAGATCTAGCCTTAATGAAAGTCACAAAATGTCTGTTTGCAGACACTTAGAATGAACCATGTAAATGTGTAAATAATTTGATAAATGTTCCTTTGCCAAATGTGACATGCTACAGATGCTTAACCCATCTCTTGTGAAGATAGATATATGTAATCTAAAGAGGGCAAAATGTCATTATGAACCTCTGGATACCCATGGGGGAAAAACCTAATATCTAAAACAAGTGTTGAACCTCATCCAAATACGTAGGATTCAGTACAGTGTATCCAATGTTGTTTTGGTTTTACTTGCCCATAAAACATGACATGGACCTTGATTTTACAAGCACATTTAAACACCTCCCCAAAATAGGTCTGGGTTGCTATGTGACAGAGAGCTGCCTTACTGCCTGTTTGCTCATCCTGCCTTACTGTGGATGAGTCTGTTGAGGGCCTACACGTAGCATTTCTACACGTAGCATTTCTACACGTAGCATTTCTCAAAATGGAGCACACAAATGTCTCTACTAGCTAGATTGAATGACAGAGCTTGATTCAATGCACCTTGCAGTTTGATTTGGCTTCATTACAAAGAAGTCATGGGGAGTTATACACATACATTTGTACCTGTATTGTCAACGGTAACGACATGAATCGCTCACTGTATTTCTTTGATTGATCAGAGGAATTAATACCATTCAGTGTGGCAACTGCACAGTTGCAAACGATAAGACCTTGAGCAAAAGCATTGGGTCCATACAAAAAGCGAAG